GAAGGTACAAAACACCTTCAATTTCTGATTTTTTTCATTAAAAATAAAATACATATCTCACTATTAAAACGTAAAAAATCGAACAATGGCGAATGAGAATTAATATCATTTCTCTCAGTAATTACCTATATTCATATTACCATCCAAATATATTATATAACTTTTAAAGGGCTTCTTGCTGTCTCGTTGAACTTTACCCCACATGTCCTTTTATTCACCTGCTTTTCATACAAGATATTCTCTCAGCTGTGTTTGTACCAAAAATTTGACACTAACAAACCAAAAGCTGATAACCTCAACAGTTGTAAACAATTATTGTTGACCAATAACAAGATAAAAGTCCCTTTCCTACGCAGTTGTTTACCACATTGGTCAACAATTTCGGCCGGTTATACAACGTCCCTATCAATGTAGTTTGATAATAATGTGCATGTCATCCGTTATGAAGTAATTTTCTATGTTCATACGAGGTTTCTGACATTTCAAATACCTTTGTAGTTTCAAATTGCCTGCTTTACAACACATAACGCATTTGACACATACAAATTATTGAACTGAAAAGTTTTCCGGGGTTATATCAGAACTATGATTTTTAAATGTAAATGTCATATTAACAAAAACCTAAAGCACCCAAAACATTATGTAAAGATTTCCAAAGATGCGTACATGCGATGCATCTTATAATCACCCAGAAAATTAAAAAAAATCGTTCATTTAGTCAAATAGTCTAATATAAATAAGAAGATGTGGTATGAGTGCCAATGAGACAACTCTCCATCCAAGTCACAATGTATAAAAAGTAAACAATTATAGGTCAAAGTACGGCCTTCAACACGGAGCCTTGGCTTACACCGAACAGCAAGCTATAAAGGGCCCAAAAATGACTAGTGTAAAACAATTCAACCAGGAAAATCAACGATCTAATCTATATAAAGAACGTGAAACGAGAAACTCTTATGAACCACACCAACAAAGACAACCACTGAACAACAGGCTCATAATAATAATAGTTCATAATCGGAAACAACTAACCTAGTATGTTAACATTCTCCACAAGACATCAATTTATAACAACGCTAAAAGTCAGTCTGCTTATAATTTAAAAATATTTCAATATATAATTCATATTGCAAATGTTAACATTTTTCTTTCTCAAATTATGAAGTTAAAATTACCGTACGCACAACACGGGTTCCCTGGAATACCATTTGCCAGGTACGTTTGATACACGTGTTCTCTGGAATATCCCTACTCAGGTACGCTCGATACACGTGTTTTCTTAAATACCCCTTGTTAGGTACGCTTGATACACGTGTTCTCTGGAATACCCTTTGTCAGGTACGCTCACACGTGTTCTCTTGATTATCCTAATTCATGTACGCTCGATACACGTGTTTTCTTAAATAACCCTTGTCAGGTACGCTTGAAACACGTGTTCTCTGGAATACCCTTTTGTCAGGTACGCTCGATACATGTGTTCTCTGGAATAAACTTCATCAGGTACGCTCGAGTTACGAGTTCTCTGGAATATCCTTTGTCAGGTACGCTCGATACAAGTGTTCTCGGGAATAAACTTCATCAGGTACGCTCGGTCACGTGTTCTCTGGAATACCCTTTGTCAGGTACGCTCTATACACGTGTTCTCTGGAATAAACTTCATCAGTAACGCTCGGTCACGTGTTCTCTGGAATACCCTTTGTCAGGTACACTCGAGACATTTGTCCTCTGGAATATCCTTCTTCGGGTACGCTCGGTCACGTGTTCTCTGGAATACCCTTTGTCAGGTATGCTCGAGACATGTGTTCAATGGAATATCCTTCGTCAGGTACGCTTGGTCACGTATTCCCTGGGATACCCTTAGTCTGGTACGCTAGAGACTAAAAATTGAAAACAAATAATATTTATGTGCCTAAAAGTTTTGAAAACCAAAATGTAAAACGTTGAAAAGAGAAAAAAAATGGCGTAGTCAGAGCAGCCAAACCCGTCTAAAGTCAACATTGCCATAAAAAGTTGTAACCATAGCTTTACCACAATAATTGATACATTTGTATATATATATATTAAAATAAGGATTTTATTATAAAACTTAAAATTTTATTTTATTATAAAACTTATAATAATTTTATTTTATTATAAAACTTATAATTTGATTTAATTATAAAACTTAAAATTTTCCGACAAAATTCATTGAATTGTGTCAATTTTGAAGTACTGGCTCCTGAGAGGTTGGAACCGTCGGGGATTGAATGTGTAAAATCAGTGGTGCTAATCTAGTGGTATTTATAAACATATCTGATAACTGCACAATGCACAATATACGTGTTTTAACACAGACACTTGTCTCCGAAAAAAATACAGGTCTATATACTTTATTAATTAAAGTATATAGGGCATTCTTTTACAGATACTAATACCTGTGTTTTTTTAACCATTATCAGGGACGCTCTCGGGACCAAAAGTTTTAAAAACCCAAATTATGAAACGTTGCAAAGCACAAAAACTAAATTAGTCGAAACAGAGCACATACCCGTCTAATTTCAACTTTGTCGGATGGAGTTGAAATCTAGCTTTACCTCAATTTTACAATCTTTATACTCAATTTATAGACAAAATGTATCATTTGACTGTAGACTGGGTCTATCCTTTATCTGTTTGGCTCTGACAGATAAAAGGGCCCTTGACAACAAGGGTAACTCCGGCATATGTATGTTGCAAGGGAGACAACCAGATTACATTTGAATCATGCAAATACCATAGCACAGGATTCTGAACGGATGGTACCTCCGAGGACTGAAAGTGCACAAGCAGCGGTACCTATGAAATCATAGTAAAAAACGTATATGATTTCAATACGCACAACACGAGATTCTCGAATAACCTTCTTCTAGTACGTTCGAGATATTGTATGGTTTTGGTTGTGATGTTAAGCCTCTTTTTGTCTTTCTACTCTCCAACGTTATATATTTCTAGATTTTCCAAACTTTTGTTCTTTTGCGATACCCTTTTTTGTGTGTCCACTGATCTAGATTAAAAAAATGGGAGGATTGAGATCTCCAACAAAATTCTTGCAACCCCGCCACATATTCTTCTACCTAGTCAGGAATCTCCTCTATGGTTGTTTTCTGTCATGTTTTTATTTTTTTATTTTGGGAATTTTGTGTCAATGGCAGATCTTTGATAGATTCTGTTTGACTTATTTATAACTATTAGAATCGGGACTATTTGTTGTATGGACAGCTGTCTATAGTTTAACTTATTTATAACTATTAGAATCGGGACTATTTGTTGTATGGACAGCTGTCTATAGTTTAACTTATTTATAACTATTAGAATCGGGACTATTTGTTGTATGGACAGCTGTCTATAGTTTAACTTATTTATAACTATTAGAATCGGGACTATTTGTTGTATGGACAGCTGTCTATAGTTTAAAACTGTATGTTGTCCTGTAGATCTCATTTTGGTTATTTTTGTCGTTAGATTAATATGTCGTTGACGTATACCCCATAAAATAAATTATCTTGTATTAGAATTGTTTTGGGCAAAAGCTATAGAGAAAAATGTCTATTTTTTGGTCTATAAAAGTTTGGTTACTATCCAAAAAGGAAGGAAGCATTTGGAAAATTTGTTTCTTCTTAATGAAAATATCATTTTTATTTGAAAACTTCAGATATGATGAAAAATATAGCGAAGTGTGACCACACAAGCTGTCCAAAGAGAAGTTTAATGAAAACGTCACCAGCCTTTCGTCACATCGATCTCAAATAACAAATTTTACAAACTAATTACCACCTCCTTCACTATTAAATGACATTTACGTCAGGCCTTCAAATCGTTTTGTTGTTCTTCACAATTATTCTGATAAAAAAAAGTTTTTCAAATTGGCGCAAATGAATTCCGTAATTTGACCCAAATGATACATTTGACAAATAATATTTGATGCAAATGATACATCTCGAAAATAGCAATTGAAACAAAAGGACTGCTGCCATATTAACATCGACTCAATCGTATAATTTAATGACGATTTTTCTAGGTTTGGTTGAATTCATGTCATATATTAATAAAATATGCAAGTCGTCGTTCTACATGTATCAGACTGATTTTTTTGGGCCGAATCAGTCAAAAAATTGGTTCTTCCCGTTGTCTTCGTTGTTGTAATTTTTAAATGCTGTCATTCTTTTCTTTTGAATAACTAAACATGCGTAGTACATCCTCGCATGAATACGGATACAAAGATTCAAATGAGGTTGAATTATTTACTTGCAAGCCAATAATACATCAGCGATAATTGTTGGCGTATTTTTACCAAATTGAACAAAACTGACTGCATGTAGCGAATATTATTTCAAAATTTAGCTTTATAATCATATTTTTTTTTTGTCTGAATCGTAGTTAATGCCCCTTTAGGAAAATATTAAGAAACTAAGGTTCTAATCCCCTAGGGCAAAATTGACCTTAGTTGAATACGACTATTGTGTTAGGGTCTTTTTTTGGTCATATAACTCCTAACGTTTTAACACATCCCTGGCTTCGAACTCTTTAGGTTTGAGCGTTCCCGATGAAGGTAGATCCAATAAAGAGCCTCGGACGCCAGAAATTTATAAAGTGCTTATTTCATCTACATGCGTTCATTAATATAAATGAGCCGAATAATGATATTTGAAAGAAAAGCCCAAACACAATAGTTATATAAATTAGTTTTAGGTATACAAAATCGGATTTTTGTTAGGTTTTCCAGAAAGTACACGAGCAATAAAATGATAAATAAAATCTGAAATGATTGTGAAATATTAAATTGACCTTTTAGTTACATTTGACCACTGATTATGAAAGGTTTGATTGATAACTTTTGATGAACCTAACAAAGTACAGATAATAATTAATTATAGATCTACTATCGAGGAATTTACCCTGCACCTCTATCTGTGTCAGCAACTTGTTATCATAGATTTAGTATAAAAGACACAGTCCAATTGGAACACCTCAAATAGTGAAACGAGACATTACACATGCTCCATAATGGGGCAAAAGTTACTTATATTATGTGCCCTTGTGGTACTTAGCCAAGCAGGTATGGAATCTATTATGTTGTAAAATTTTTAATAATTATGTATTTTTAACTTTATAATTCAAATAAAATAAGGTAAAAATAAATAACTCTTTATTCATGTGTATTTCGTAATATAGAATGATAATGAGGAAATGATATTAATTAACCGTATCATTGTAAAAGTCGTTTGAAAAAACCTTAATTCAGTGAATGTGATTGTTGCTGTATATCATATTTGGTTTTCGTTTATTGTTTTGTACATAAATCAGGCCGTTAGTTTTCTCTTTGAATTGTTTTACATTTGTCATTCCGGGGCCTTTCATAATATCTTGCTATGCGGTATGGGTTTTTATCATTGTTTAAGTCCGTACGGTGACCTATAGTTGCTATAAATATCTTACTTATAACAATAGTGTTCGTCTGTTAACAAAGTTACGTAATGGATAATTAAAGTTAAATGTTGAAGTTGATCGTTACAATAATATTCCGAGAGAAAATCGTTAATGAAGATGCTGTAAAATGTGTGTTATTGAAGATGAATATAATTTAGTTCTAGTTTGTCCAGTTATTAATCTGTGCGAAACACAATTTGTACCAAAAAAATAGTGTTTTTTGGTCAAACAATCTGGCAATCATATCACGTCTTTTTTATTTATATACTTATCTATAATATTCGTTTTCAGCTAAACTACCTAAATCACAGACTGCTACATGTGCAAGACAATGTACAGGTAAGTCCTTTGTTTGATAGTATGTTCCGTGAAATCTGTCGGAATATTAACATTGCATTGAATTCTTTAGATAATTATCTTTTAAGCAATTACTCAGAAGAAGAAAACCGCATTTATTTTGACATGAAAGATGAATTTCTTTATTTTCCTAGATAGTTATCTTATGTACTGCCATGCGAATATTTTCCTTTTCAATTTAAAATAAAGAAATTAAACTGTTTCTTCTTAATCAAATGCCTTTCGTAATCAACAGCGAAACTGGTGTCACATAAAGGAGGTTTTTAAAAGACATTATTTTATTTTGCAGAAACGAAAAAATTTGGATACGAAACCGGAAAGACATACGACTATGAGTACACATCAAAGGTGTCAACGACAATACAAGGGGCTTCCGAAGATAAAGCGGAAATCGACATTGCTGCAAAAGTTCACATCGAGGTTCAATCAAAATGCGATTTAGTGCTTAAGGTAATCTTTAAAGTTAATCTAACGCCGTGTTCACACTGATGCTTAAACAAGTTTGAAACAAGTTTAATTGAAATTAATTATAAATAAACACTGCGTTAATTTCTGAAACACTTGCAGATATTAATTAACTTTTTAATATAGAATTGAATGCATGTCAAACAATTTATTAGTTTTTATTTTAAAGATTTAAACAATACTACTTGTGTACACAAAGCATGTTTTACATGGGCAGTGTGAACGCGGCATAACTTTTCAAAATGACTAAATGTCATCAATTTTGTTGTTACCTTTAACTGTTAGTAAACATTGTGTCATTGATTTATTAAGAATATTGTCTCGTTAGATCGAATTCATATCCATACATTTTTACATTCAGAATTCCAATGAATTAATATGATCATCTGTATCAATTTTCAGGCTTCTGATGTTGTACTTACTGAATCAGACCCTAAATCACCAAACACCAAACGCAATGCCGACGTCACTGGCGAATTCAAGAAAAGTCTTGAACAGAATCCATTGATGTTCTCCTTCCAAGATGGCCGTGTTGATGAACTATGCCCTTCTAACGACGAACAGACATGGGCTCTTAATATCAAACGTGCAATCATCTCTGCTTTCCAGAACTCTATGGATGACTTTAGTCAAGAACAGAAAACCAAAGAGGTAAAATATTGTAGTATAATCTGTTGGTAACAGGTTAATTTTTTTAAAAGGGGTTTGATTGATATTCAAATCGCTAGAATATGTCCGAAATCTATCGGCTTTTCAAATGTATTTTCATTGTAATTTTCTACCCCACTCGCGTTAATGACTTTAAGTCTTAGTCTTTAAGACTTAAAGTCCGAACAAAAGACTTTTAAGTTAAGTTTGTAAGTAAAAGGCTGAGCTTACACACCAATTAAATCCGTAAAATAACCTTCATTACTTATATTTCCAATAAGTTGCACTAAAATTATGTAAAGATAAACTATTTGCAGAGTTATTTCGCTTTCGTAGGAATTCAAACTGTTGAATGTCGTTATAGAACGGTTTATAATGTCTTAACCTTTTAAGTACTATGTTATGATGCTCTACAATAAAATAAGACCTAAGATTTCAAGATTTAAGATTCCTTATTCTAAAACATTTTAAAATCAATAAAATTCGGTCAAATGGCCAATAAGAAAACTTTCTACCAATGATCACTGAAAGAAATAACAACTTTTGGGAAGCTCCGAAATGCTATATCAGATACAGCAACGGTTAACCGATGTTCAGAACTCGTAACTCCATTATGAAAACACAAACCAAGTGGAAAACTAGAGATAATCGCAAGAACTCTAAACCCAGAGAAACTAGGTGCGTCGATTGGGTAAATCTCTCCATGCATCCATAGCTTTGTGTAATTGATTTTCCTGATTCATTTTTCTATCACCTTTATTCTAAACTGATAAGATCCGGTCGAATTGCTAACAACCTTTCAAAATCCAATGAAAGACTGGACTTTTGGCAAGCTACAAAAAGCTTTTAAACAAAAGTACAAAGATAACATTATTCGTGCGGGTCATATCGTTATTTTAAAAATTAAAAATGATTTCATAAAACCAAAACTACTAACTTTTGTTATTTTTCAAGATTTACTGTATGTTTTTAAATAAACAAAATTGTGAAATACTTTACAGATGGATGTAACCGGAAGTTGTGATGTAAATTACTCTTTGGCTTCCAATGGGTGGTACACAATGACAATTAAAAAGACAAAAGACACATTAGGATGTGTAGATCGTCATGGTTACAAAACGGCCATGCAAGGAACACCATATAGGGTACCATCAGTAAGTTATAATTTTATATTCAATAGATAATTATAACAATAGTAATTCTGTAACATGTTTAACGAATAATATATAAAACCAAGGATTGTGTATTGCTTAAACAGTTTTCACAACCTTTTTTCCGTTTTAGGAAATCCAGTCAATGCCATTGGTTAAAAGCACACACGAATGTCAGCAGGGAATCAGTAAAACTGGTATCCTTCAGAGCAGCAGTTGTGAGGAACAACATGTTCTCCGACCATTCTCCAGGGAATCCAGTGGAGCTGTTACAGAAACAAAACAGACTTTGAAATATATTTCGGAGAGTCAAAGCAGATCTACAAAAGGTAAAATTGAAACAACAGAAACTATTCATATATGCATCGTGAATCAAAAGAACAATTAGCAGGATCTGCTTACCCTTCTGGAGCACCTGAGACAAGTTTTGGTATTCGGCTCTCGTTTAGGACTTATAGTCTGCAAACAGCTTCCAAATATTAACGTTCAAAGATCTTTTTTTAACAATAATATTATAGTAAAGAAAAATTAAATACTAGAGTTTATACTTTTAATTCATGGCATGTTAACTACGTTAAGACAAAGTTGACCTTAAATAAATAGAGGATATCATATGGCTTTTTCAATATCACATCCGTATCAACCCGAGACACCAATATAATCCCAAGAGCTCTGCTCGAGGGATTATATTGGTTGAGGGTTGATACGGTGTGTGATATTGAAAAAGACATATCATATACACTTTATTATATACATATACCTCACGTAGATGTTTTTTATGTGACATGACGTCATACAGATAAGGTTTGAAATGACGTCATACAGATTAGGGATTTGATAAAGCCTTTGCAACAGTGAATGCAATCGATGACGTAACGTCATGCAGATTAAAGGTGTGATAAAGCCTTTGCAACTGTGCTGATATCGATATCATCACGGGTGGCTGATACAGCACGCTTGCCAATGATTGTATTACACATACAATTTATCTGTATTTACTACTAAGTATATAATAAATATGGCTACTCTGTTAAGGTCCTTTTTAGTGATATAGCTCATTACGCTGTAGCGTAATCACACACCCCTGGCTTCTAAATGTTTAAGTTTGGGCATTCCTGATTAAGGTCAGACTAGAAAAGCGAACGATCGCAAGACATTTATAAATTGTTTATTTCATTTACGTTCAAACTATATATAAATAAATTTTTAACTTAGTAACTTGTCTTTAATTAAGTGTCTACTGAAAAGAGAACAACATTGGCATTTGAGCATGCTTTTGACAACACCAATTCTGAAAACGCACAGAAGGAGGTTCTGAACAAACTGACAGAATTTTGCGAATTATCTAAAGATGCCGTGAAAGTATCCACAGCCAAACAGTTTACTGAGCTTGTCCGACTTATGAAAACTTTGGATAGCGATAGCATGGATAGTGTCCACACGAAAGTACATTCGGGAAAAGTCTGTTCAAAGAATCCTAAAGTCAAGTATGTATAATATGAAACAACTATATTTTTGTTACGGTATTTGCCATTTAAGGTATCAGTACTGTACAAGATTTCACAAATGCTTAAAGATATAAGTCATATATATATATATATATTCATTCTTAACTTCTGCGTTTTTGTTCGTAGTTTTTGGTTGACGTGAACAAAACAATGATGTTATTCGAAAATGCCACACGGAAATGCTATTCATTTTTATGTTTCTAATGGAGGCAAAACACGGAACAATTAAAACTTTTTCGTGTAATTTTGTTTGAAATGTATACAAAATGCACCAATATAGGGCCAAAGTTTGATGAAGCTTTCATCGTACAAAACAGAAAGTGATTTTCCTATATAAGACCGGTCCAATACAGATTTTCTGTATCTGCCCATAGGTTGAAAAGCTGTGTTTTTATTTGAGGCATTGTACATGCCGGTTAACCGTATTAGAGTTCTTTTATCACATAATTTCATATCAAATATAATTTAAAATAAGGCACCGGTAATTCGATCAGAATAATAAAGAAAATATATCTTTTTTCGATACTTTGTAGAGTGACCATGCCAATATATTTAAGAGCTCCAAATAATTGATACCGTAAGTGTAAAAAGGCATAAATGTATGACTATTTGCTTGCTTTTATGTTGATAGTGTAGTACAATTTTCCATAATTTACAGGAAATTCTTCCTTGACGCCATTCCAATGGTCGGAACTAAAGCTTCTTTGAGAATGATGGCAAATTTGATAAATACCGATGAAGTCACCGGAGCTGAAGCTGACATGTGGATGACAAGTCTATCTTTTATTCAACATCCAACAAAAGACATGCTATTGGAACTGAAGGTATATATAGCTCTTTAAATATAAACTTGAAATGAAACGTTTGTCTTAAACATTTACTGAAATGATTTGGTTTTCGAAACGTTAGAACGTAACGGTTCTTTCAAACATGCAAATATATGTATACGTATAGATATAGTGACGTCCTTTCAAATATGTAAATATATGTATACGTATAGATAGTGACGGTTCTTTGAAATATGTAAATATCTATATACGTATGGACAGCGACGTTTTTTCAAATATTTAAATGTATGCATACGTTTCATCTTAATATATGGTATTCATGCTTTTCGTTATAGCCTTTATTGACTAATACAAAGAACGGACAAGCCATGCTTGCAGTTTCATCACTGGTATACACCTACTGTAAAACATCTTCCTGTGCTAACGACATTGATTTGGTCAACCTTGTTGCCAGCTTAGAAGACAAGATTGGTGTTGGATGCTATGCAGACAAGAACAATGTTAACAACGTAAGCATTTTCATTCATTCATAAAAAAGTTTTCATTGTTCATCGGATAATTCGCTTTTGAATAATATTGTCAGTATTGGGCAAAAATGTTTTGAATTTAGGAAAATTCATTGAGCTTTAAAATTTTGTTTCAGATTATCCGTGCCTTGCGTGCCTTTGGTAATGCTGGTTTCTCTAGCAGTATCACAATGGTAAACAGCTGTTTGACAAGAAAAGAAAACCCGACAGAGGTTCGCCTTGCGGCAGCTCAAGCCTTCCGCCGAATGACATGTGATGCAAACGTAATTAAAAATTTATTTAATGTTTCTTATTCGTGTCATTATAAGTTACTATTGATAATTAAAACTAATATTTGACTACTTAAATTGCCAACATTATATTTTTCAACTATTTTTGAAATTGTCTTAATCTTATTGATGAATAAATAAGATTATACAGCCTGATCACTATTGTGAATGTTATTTTGTGTAACTGTCATTAAATATCATGATTGATTTATTTCATAAAAAGAGTATCATTTTACATTCACAATTCTTTTGGGTAGAAAAAAACAAATATTCTAAAACAGTGTGTGCAAGGCAAATAACGAATATACTATTACTGGAATCTGACAAACTAAAGTCAAGTGAACATCTAGTGGAACCCAGTAAAATTGACATGTAAGAAATAGATCTTCAACATAGGATTTGTTTTCTTTCAGAGAAACGAGTTAATGACAATTTACTCAAATCGTGATGAGGATTCCGAAATAAGAATTGCTGCTTACCTAGGATTGATGACATGTCCCTCAAAATCTATCCTCAACAGAATCCAGACAACGCTGGAATCAGAAGAAGTAAATCAAGTCGGCTCCTTTGTCTGGACTCACCTTACAAATCTAATGGAAACATCAAGTCCACTGAAAAAAAGCATAAAATCAATTTTATCCAATGACATGCTTAAGAAAGAATTCAACTTAGAAAAAATGAAGTATTCCAGAAACTATGAAGCTTCATTTTTCCTAGAAAAGATTAACACAGGTGCAGCAATTGACAGCAATCTCATTTGGTCTTCTAAGTCTTTCCTTCCAAGATCAGCCATGACTAACCTCACCATCGATCTTTTCGGTCACTCTGTCAACCTGTTTGAGCTTGGTGGAAGAGTAGAAGGACTAGAGTATTTCCTTGAATCCTACTTTGGACCTGAAGGATATTTTGGCAAGTCAAAGGATGTTGTCAAACAATCCGTGAAAGGAATTAGCAACAAAGCAATGGATAAACTAAATGAGGAGGTAAAAAAAAATGAAATAATATTGGAAAAAGGTAGCCGTTTTTTTCATGTTATATTTGAAATCCATTCATGTTATTCCTTTATTCCCTGTTTTTGGTTGAATATTAATTTTTCATTCGTTTTGTTTAAAAAGCAAAATTTATATAAACAACCAGAAATTTAGTTCTTAACACTTGTTTTGTACTCTTTTTCTCTGATAATTTTTTGTTTTTTGTTTTGTTTTGAATAATATCAATTAAAGTCTTTTTTGTTGCTATTTCTAGTTTGGATCAACCATGGAAGAGTTCAAAGGTAGCATGTATTTGAGAATATTTGGCAATGAATTACAGTACATCAACACCGACGATATTAAAAGTCTGATTGAAGGACAAAACTTCAACATTCTGGATTTTATCATCAATCTGGCTAAAGAGCAAGATTATTCTTTCACGCAAAGCTTCATGTTTCTGGATACCAGTATTGTTATTCCAACTATGTCTGGTTTCCCGCTTAACATCAGTTTAGACGGAAGTGCCACAATTGACGTTCAAGCGTCCGGTAAAATGGACCTTAGACAAATTAAGTCAAATCCTATGACAGTTTCCATCGATGGAAAAATTCGACCAAGGTACTATTTAGATACTCGGATACACAATTTTACTATTAAAACAATTAAAACACAACACAAAAAATAAGCGTACTAATGAGGAAAAAATGAAACTAAACCAAAGTCAAATGTCAGATTGAATGAAAAACTTAAACATCAGCAAAGTCATTAACCAAATTAGCACACACCAGTCGACAACAATAGTTTGAATTGTGTTTTATGTTTTCCTTTCGCTTTGGTCATTCGAACACAACGCTTGTCGTAATTATTCGCAACAAATACCTCAACATTGATGATATTATATAAACATTATCTACTAAAAGAAAACAAAAATTCAGATTAACAAAAAAATGCAGTTCATTACCCAATAATGTAATAACTATTACACTTTAACTTTCAACAGTAAAAGCATAGATGTCTAACTGGTCTAGTGTTAACACAGTTGCAAAAGAATATAGATCTCAGGAGATATATATCCATACGAATCATTAAGAAATAAATATTTACGAGGTACATTTTTTTATATTGATCAATATAAATATCTATTTAATTCAGTGCTGCTTTGGAGGTGACAAGTCTAATGACTGTTGATGCCTTTGTAACTAAAGCTGGAATGAAAATGGTATCTTCAGTGAACTCTGCCTCTGCTGTTGAAGGTCATCTTGAACTTAAAGGTGGACAACTCTTTAGTGCCGAATGGAAAACACCAGATTCTAAGACAGAAGTATTTGAAGCGAAGTAAGTATGAAATCGAAATTTTAAACTGTGGTTTAAGTTTGCCAATCTGTTCCAATACATATGGCATAGTGTACTCATCTCATATTTTTAGGTTTATACTTTTGTACGTTATTGTTTTTTAATTTTGTAATTACTTTTTATCACGAATAAGCAATTATTTTAGAATCAAGTGCGAGGTGAAATAAAGGTAAACTTCACTCGAATGACAACCCTAAAATACTTATTAGCATACACAAACAGCATGCATTTTAGAATCATTGACTGTTTAGTTCTTCTTTTGTACTTTTAAATTTGCATTTCTGGAAAAGTAAACCGTGTTTGAAAGAAGAAAAGAGAAAGCAGTAACTTATCCATATCCATATATATGTTAATTTTGTAACATATAAACCCTTCTCAGTTTTTGTCTTGTAAAATTTTAATGTTTAACTCTTTTTTCAGAACTTCATTCTTTACCGTTCATCGTGATGAGACCCGTGAACAAAAGATGATAACACAAAACAGACAAACAAAGAAACTATGCACTGGCGATAAACTTTCACACGTGACTGGACTTGAACTCTGTGGTGAAATTTCCTATCCTAATGCTTCTTTAAAGGCTGATTCTCCATATTTCCCTTTAACTGGACCATTGACAGCAGGTGTTACACTGTACAAGAGAGACAGTCATACTAGTTACAAAATGGAGTATAAATTCGGAAAGGTAATCATCTCTGATTTGCAGTTTTAGCTCTTTGCTTTAGACTTATGTTAAAAAATTATGGATTTATTGTTGGCCTAGAGATGTAATCCCCATCTTTTCATTTAGGTAATAATACTTTTTTTTGTTTTTTTAATAATAGTGACACCAATCATACTATATATAAGAATATAAATATATTATTTCTGCTTTTATTTTTTATTTTTGTTTAAATTATTAATTTGAACTCTTTTGCCAACGTGAGATATACTGGTTTTATTATTATAATATATTTTAGACAAAATCTGTAGTGACTGCCAATATAGGATTAAACACACCAGGGTCAAAGGTCGATAGAGAAATGAGACTTGGTTTTAATTTGAATATGAAGAAGCATGATATTGAAATGCTGATGCTGTCACCATGGAAAAAGGCCACTTTCAACGGTAACTTTTAATATATTCAGAGTTATGCAATACTTTTTAACACTTCCAATGTTTTTTGCAAGTGACAATGCTATCAATTTTTTTTGTCAAATATAAATCATTATTACTTTTAAAGTTTGGAACCTTGAATAACCACGATTTTGGTTTTATGGACGTCCCCCTTTTTAAATTTACCTTGGAGTTCGGTACTTTTCTTATTTATCATACAAATAAGAATAGAATTTCTTTTTAAGTATTAATCTGTCAAATAGAAAAGCAAACACTAATGTATTTTATAGGAGCTGTCAATACACAACAAAGACAAGTAAATGGTAAATTACTTATTGACCAATCAGAGTACTCAGTCAATGCAGCTTTAGCTAGCAAGAAGAAATCTTCTACAATGGTATATACACCATCTGTAGAAATAGTCATACCAAAGAAGGACAACATCAAACTTGATGGAACTATTGAATATTTAGCGGGCAAAACTTTGGATTCTGCATTTACCGTTCTTGGAGTTTCAAAACAACCAATCAACATGAGATGTGAGTTTTCTTTCAAAGATGTGATACTGTCCAAGTTTGTTGATGATTATGCCATACGATCTAAAGTGTTGATAATAATGGACAAAGCCATCTCCCTCTGCAAAGAATGTCAATATAAATATATAATAAATCAAAACAAATAAGCACACAAGATTTTAACATTTACCTCCTAACATGAAATCACTTGGTTTTATATACCTTAAATGCAAACAATCACCTTATACTTGATTTTACTGAAATTGTTCCTGTCACTGTTTCAATGTTTAAAGATTCAGAATGATCAAACCAAAAGTTTGATTTAACCAATGAATGGTTAAATCAAACTTTTGGTTTGTTCATTCTTGACATAGAATTATTTCCAAATTGTGTACCATTACATGATTCTATAAACCAGAAAAGTTTAATTATATGGGTTGTGGCGTTTTTATTTGTAGTAACCATGCTTAACAAGAAGGTTATCAGATCACTTAAGGGCAGTTTGACAATGGACAAAAAACAAGAGTATAGCTTCGAAACCAGAATGCAGAAACTAGTAACTAAGAAATCTTTGAGATACAGTCCATTTATCTCAGTAAAAACCCCAACAAAATTGTTGATGGGTCTTGGTGGCTCTGTGGAAATCAAATATAAGAAAGCTATGAAGGTTGACATGACCGTAACTGGATTGACACGTTCTCCAATGAAATATTTTGGTAAGTAGATTTGCCTGTTGTTGGAATGATACGGGTAATGTTGTTCTCATATATTTTATGATGGTATGATACTAAACCCTCTAACTGGAGGGATTGTGCTTGATTTTCATATGATGAAGAAATAATCTTTCAATCAGTTTAATTTGGGTCTTGAGCTGGCATGTCAGTAACTGCTAGTAGTCCTTTGTTAATGTATGTATCATTGTCATTTTGCTTAGTTTCTTTTGTTACCTATTCTGACATCGGACTCGGACATCTTTTAAACTGAGTTTTACTGTGCGTATTGCTGTGTGTTTATTTATTCTACCTTTGCTAGAGGTATACGGGATGGTTGAGATCTCACAAAACATATTTAACCCCGCCGCATTTTTGCGCCTGTCCGAAGTCAGGAGCCTCTTGCCTTTGTTAGTCTTGGATGTTTTTTTAAATTTTAGTTCATTTATATGTTTTGGAGTTTAGTGTGACGCCCATTTTCATTGAACTAGTACACATTTTTGTTTAGGGGCCAGCTGAAGCCCGCCTCGGGTGGGGATTTTCTCGCTGTGTTGAAGACCCATTGGTGGCCTTCGGTTGTTTTCTGCTCTTTGGTCGGATTATTGTCTCTTTGACACATTCCCCATTTCCATTCTCAATTTTATTGTTCTATTATATGCATTTTACCCTTTCATGTTAGAAAATATAATGTGATTTCTTATGATACGTGAACTTGTTGGGATTTAACTTGATTGTGTATGGATAACAGAATTTTATATGAATTTATTCGGGAACCTACATATACTTAACATTTCAAATGTTGTTTACTGATCTGCGTAGGCGATATAAAAAGATGGTGACCCTAGAGGAAACGTCAAAATCTAAAAGACGAAACAAAACAGAATAATACAAAAGTTATGTTATATTGTTGACATGTTGGAGACATTTTCAATCGGGAAATTGTAGCGAATGGTTAAACTAGAGCCAAACCTTCAATGTTTGTGGGAGTCATTTTCAATTAAAATTTTTGTTTTCAGTTCAAGTAAGAGATACAGGAAACGCAAAGCAAGCCCGTTATCAGGCAAAAATGAACATTCAATCTCCAATTCTGACAACTAAAGGCAGATCCAATGTTATGATTAAACCTATATCTATCATTACCAGAACCACGTTTGATTATATCATACCACGTGTAGCACGTGATAAGGTTACCATGAACACAAAGGTCATCATGAAATCAACAAAGAAAGCAACATCGGTCAAGGGAAATGGGTGAGAGTTATTATTTGATTTACTAGAGTATCTTTAAGTCAAACATAGTCAGAAATTATACAAAGCCAGCTTGAATAGTTTAACTATCACATATAAATATTGAGCCATCATCTTAATTGATCAGACAATTTGTTCATATAATGTAATTTTACTTTTTGTCTAACATGTTAAGTTGAGATACATATATTCTAGAGCTTTTGGTATTTCTTTACAGTGTTTTGAATTTCAAGAAGAAGTCACATTTGAACCTTAATCTCGGAATGAATTTTTTGACAAACGCTAAACTGACAACAACCAACTTCAATGCCCAGTATGGTGCGAATAAGAAAGATCTAAACAAAATGATTAGCTTTTCATCGACAGTAAAACACCAGTTAGCATGGCGGGCAAGTGATGTCAAAATCAGCGCACAACTGAAGCACCCTGAATCAGTAAGCTATTACAATAATTTGCAGTGTAAAGGTACTATTCTATGTTTCATATACAGTATATCACTTTTTCATAGAGCCATAGATTAGCATAATATTATATCAGTATAGTCTGTAAGTGAATTTACATTTAGGAATGAATAAGATATTTCATATGCAGGTAAGAACTTTCTTGATGACCAATGTTTATATGAAATCAAACGCTCTGTTTTTTAGGAAACAAACTTGAAGATAAAAGGAAGTCATATCCATAACAAAAAGGCACTGGATACCAGCGTTTCAATGTCCGTTGGAAAGAAACATACCTTCAGCACATCAGTCTTTTTGAAAGATAAAACAAAGAAATTGACATCCGTTTCTGGTGGACTTTCCCTCTCATGGAATGAGAAAACCCTCTCCATGTCAAATGTCTTTACCCAGCAAAACAAGCAAAAATTTACCAACGACTTCGCTTCCACTATTGGTAAACAAAGAACAACGATAAAATCCACCATTAAGAGCATGTCAAATATTGAATACGAAATATCCAATGATATAACACTTCCAGGAAGAAAACCATTTACCATTGCCGGTCAGATAAATGGGAGCCCTCGTGATTTCAGACTTGGAGCACAGATAGGAAAATCATATGTAATGGCATTTACTTCCCAATACAAACCGAAGGTTATGATCAAGATGTCTGGGAATGTGAAGGTTAACAGCAGACGTGTAACAGCTGACATTGAAGCGATGAAAAACCATCCTCAGTATTCAGGAAAATTTGATGTTAAGTGGGATGCTGATAAAGATGAATCCAAAAGACTTAAACTTGTAGGGGATTTGACATACAAAAACTCCATGGATATTAATGCAAGACTAGAATTTGTCAACCCAATCACTAGTGTCTTGTCAAGTTATAATCACATTGTTGATAAAAATACCATGGGCCATTTTGATGTCTTAGTGGCAGGGAAAGAAAAAGTAGCATTAGATCTAAATCTAAACAACAAAGATAATGGTAAAGCTGGAACCCTTAGAATGCAGACACCGGCATCTGGCTTAGTACAACTGAATTTTGATATGATGTCAACTACCAAACAATACCAGAACACAATTGATATCACTTGGCAGAAATCAAACAAAATTGGAGTATTAGTAAATTTGGACAAACCATTCAATGCAAATAAATTTCACGGAATAGTTACAGTAAAAACACCCTTTGATGGCTTCAGAATGTCCTCAGTAGAAGTAGATCATGATTACACCGGAAAGCTGAAAAGTATGTTGAAAACTGAACTCAACAACGAGAAAATGCAAGTTGATATCAAATACAGTAATGATGGCACAACCGAAAACCGGGATGTAAACGGTGTAATGAGTGTAAAATCGTCATTATCTAGCTTGAAAACAGCGTCTGTAAGCTTCCACCACAAAACCACTGACAACAAATACCAGAACGCTTTAGTAGTGGAGCATAATGGCAAAGTATACCAGTATGAAGGTCAAATGAATCACAGATTTACGAAAAAAGGGCTGAAGAATAAAGGAAAGATTGTCGTCATTGTACCAAATAACAAATATGATGCAAATTGGGACCACAGCATTTCCAAAAATGAACTCACTTCTAAAATACAATCTAATATCGATGGCAAATCTTATGAATTTGACGTAAATGGAAGACAAGCCATCACGTTGAGCGAAGGCGGAATATCTTTTAACCTAAAGATTAAATCTCCATTTATGGATAATATCGTTCTGCGTGTTGACCATCAACACAGACCATCACTAATAGACAGTTCAGCGACCTTATCTATTAATGATAACGTAATGATGTCTGGGCAGGTAGACTACAAGAGAGAAGTTGGCAAGGTAATGTCAAAACAGTCTTTTAAAATGTCTGAATTTGCTTTTGAAACTTCAATTATATCTGAATATGCCCGTTTTCCAATGTCAGGTCAAATAAATATGAAGATGAATAATAATGAAATCGATGTCAGCGGAACCTATGATCGTCAGCAGAACAGTCAAAATGGTAAACTGAAAATTAAATCTCCATTTACCAAACCTATTGTATTAAGTATTGACCGAGCAGTTGATGGCGAACAGATCATTTCATCTTCTATTGAGTATGGAAAAACTGAAATTATGGCCATGGAAAATAGATTCAGATGGGACGACAACAAAATTATCAAGATATCAGTCGTAACACCAATAGAGTCTGTCAGGAAATTTGAAACACTACTCAGTTTAGATGGAGGTATAACCGCTTTCAAAACAGTCGCAAGAATAGAAATTGAACCTATTTTTAGACGAATCCAGTTGACATCCGAATGGAACTCTGTCAATGGACTAAATGGGAAAATTCGTTTGGAAACGCCATTCCAACAAATACCATACAGTCAAATAATTTTGGTTTCTAAACCATCAACTAGAATGACATCATCAGATCTGTCTATTGAATATCTCCCAAAGAAAGAAATAATCATAAAATCAAACTACATGGTGCAGAATAATCACGTTGAAGGCAGTTTAGACATAAATACTCCCTTCAATGACATACGAACAATGTCAGTATCATTGAAACATTCAACTCGAAATAATGCCATAGACTCTGGGATAACTTACACTTGTCCTAAAGGAACAAAATACGCTGCTGACATCAACTATAAATCTGATGTCAAGAAAGAGGCGTCAGTCAGTTTGAAAATGGATAAGAAGAGAATAGCCGTTAACGGTATTGTCGACCTGACGTCTGGGTACCCAACAGGTTTCCTGAAGACATCAACACCCTTTACAGACGACATTATTGTTGATATCAAGCAGAAGAAACAAGATGAAGTAATTATGACGTCAGGCTTACTCAGATACGATAACGGAAAGGAAATATCGTTGGAAAACCGATTCCGTTGGGATAATGCTTTTGTGTTCACTACATTTGTTGCCACACCATATGAATCCATGAAAACAATTAACTCAGTAATAGAAGCTAAAGGAGACTTAAGATCTTTCTCTCTTTTAAGCAGCATTGAAGCAGAACCAATCACGAAGAAGTTCTTGGTATCTAGTGCCGTAAATACTTATGGTGGATTCGATGGTAACTTCCGCATTGAAACTCCATTCAAGGTCATTCCATATAGTCAGATAGCCGTCTCTAGTCAAAGAAGTAGCGGTTCCACAAGAACAGTTGCTAATATAGAATACCTTCCAGCTAAGTTTATCAGTGTCAAATCGAGTCACTCAGTACATTTAGATAACATGGATGCAACTATAGAAATTCAGACTCCGTTCGCCAAATTGAAGCATGCATCTGCTTCCATAAAACACACAAATGACGACAAAGGCATTGCATCTTATGTAGGAATCGAATATCCCAAGGGAAATATATATTCTGTAGACACTTCCGCTAGCAACGCTGAAAGGAAAGACGCTTCTATCACCGTCAAAAGCCCACACAATAAACCAGTAAGTCTGACAATCTACCATCAAGGCAAATATCCCTCAATGGAGACACACGGCGAACTTCAGTACCAGGGCAACAAGAAACACATATTGGACATATCATTTATTAATAAAGCTAACTTTAAGACTTCCGTGTCTTACAAATGTCCATCTATGGATAAGATATCTTTGGAGATAAGTCATAAAGGTAGCATAAAACAATTCAATTCCCTCGTTAAAGCACAATACAAGAAGGGTGAGCCACATCAAATAGAAGTAGTCTTTAAAAATCTGGCTAAAATGCAAGGATCTTTGACAGTTAAATCACCATTCATGGATGACTTTAAAGCATCTTTCCATCATACAGGGTCCTTGAGGAATCTTAAATCCCATGTTGAATATGCTTACGGTAAAATGAAACCAGCCTCCGCTGATGTCGCATTTATTTCTGGAAAACGTCTCCAGGGTTCAGTGAAATTGTCTTCTTCACTGTTTGAAGATATTACCTTGACTCTTTCTCATAAGGGTAAACTAAGAAGCTTCAGAAACAAAATAAACCTAATCTACAGCAATAAACAGAAAATAAGTACTGATTTTAATTTCCGCCTTGCGAAAGTAATGAAAGCTACATTTATATTTGTATCTCCATTTAAAGGATATAAGAAAGTCATTGCCAATGTTAAGCACGAAGGAACATGGAAGAGCTTCAAGTGTGATGCCAATGTTAAAAAAGGAAAAGACGTCATCAAGGCTAACATGAAAACATCAGTAGGGTCTAAATTCAACTGGGAAGCAAGTGTAGAAACACCAGTTGCCGGTTGGAAGAAACTGAATGCTGCTGTATCACACGAAGGATCATTTTCTAATTTTAAATCCCATGCAGAGATAGCTCGTGGTAAACAAAACATGGTCGCTGCAGATATACGATTTGCAATTAAACCTTCCGTTGATATTTTACTAGCCGCACAGACACCTTTTGTTGGCTACAAAAATGTCAAGGCATCTTTGTCGCATCAAACATCAGATAGCAAGATAAAGTCTCATGCTGAAATTACGTACTTCAAGAAAGATACGATATCTGCAGATATCTTAATAAACAAACCAACGAGAAGTGCTGATATTTCCATTAAAACTCCATTTAAGAAATATGAAAAGATGGCTGGTTCCTTCTCTCACACGGGTTCCCTATCAGAATTCAACACAAAAATGGATTTGGCAGCAAACAAGGACAAGTATTCAGCTCAGATCAATTTCAATACCGTAGGTCAACTGTCAGCGGAAATGAAAATGTCAACACCAATTGTCGGTTATCAGGAAACCGATATTTCTTTTACTCATAGTGGAAGCTTAAATAATTTCCGTTCACGAGCAAATGTTCTTTTCCACAAGAAGAAGAGTGTCGCTGATGTCTCATTTAATTCACTCAGTGGTGTAGAGGGACAACTGACATTACAGACACCATATACAGAAACTGTAAAAGCTACAATTTTGCATAAAAATGAGGGGAAAATGAAATCTTCATCAAGCATTACATATGGTAAACAAACCATTTTAGATTTTGATACTTTGTTCAGTCAAAGAGGACAAACATTCGGAACTGTCTCCATCAAAGTATTGAAGGTACCAAAAATGGAAGCAACTTTTGAACACGAGGGTGTCATATTCAACAACAAAGCATCCTTACAGGCATCATTCGGAAAAGAAAAGATCATTGTTGAGACACAAATGGACAGCAAATCAGATGTCTCAGGAAGAATTTCTATTGCAACTCCATTTGAATCTGCAAAGACGATGTACATTATATACTCTAAAACTGGACCGATGAATGGTATGAACGGTCATTTTGAAGCTGGAATCAACGAACAGAAGATAACGACTGACGTCACAATTTCATCTGATGACATGTCAAAGGCATCTGTCACAATTCGAACGCCATTTGCAAGACTACGAAATGCTGATGTATCTACTAGGTTTTCTGGCACTATAAAGAATTTTGATAGTCACAGCGAAATGACAGTAAACGAACAAATGGCTGAAGCCGATCTGACAGTCATTGTCAATGATCGTCTTGACATTAGAGGTTCTATGAAATCTCCATTTACTAAAGACTTCGTCTTTAGAATGAACCATGATGGTACAAGGGACAGTTTTAAATCATCTTCTGAAGTATCATATGGATATGACAAAATAACTGGACAAATCACAACTGATCTGACCAATGGAGTACAAATTGACGCATCCCTCAAAACTCCATTTTCAGAAGAAGTGATCTTTGCTACGTCCTCTAACTACGATTTTAAAGACTTACGATCACTTTCTCAATTATCATACAGTGGAGCTAAACAACATGAATTAGAAGTCACCTTCTCTGCAGTAAAGGAACAAAAATCTCTGAAATCAAATGCACAAGTTACCTACAACGGAAAATCAGCTTCAGGAAAGTTTGACTTTGACGGTGGTATGAAAAACTTCAAATCTGCAGCAGAGGCCAAATACAACAACCAGAAAATAATGGCTGAATTACAATTCCAGTCTCTGAGAATAATAAATGGACAATTTTCATTGAAAACACCATTTACGTCCGACTTCCTCCTTTCCTTCAACCATCAAGGACAGATGCCAACTGCTTTTAAATCAGCTGCTTCGATGTCATACGGAAAGAAATCTCATGACATTCAGGCATCATTTAACCACGAAGGGTCATACAAGAAATTATCTAGTAATGGTCAGATTAGTTACAATGGCAAGAGAATATCTGCAGACATTTCCTTTGATGCTACTAGTGACATAACAGGAACAGTGACATTGAAGTCACCTATGACTGATGACATAATTGTCACTTTCTCCCATAATGGAACACCATTGACATTCAGGAGCATTGCCAAAATTTCTTACAGTGGATCAATGCAACACGATGTTCTCATAACATTCAATCATGCCGGATCAATGACGAATTTTAACACTAAAGGCGCTTTAACATACAATGGTAAAACCACATCAGGTGAACTTATATTTGATGCTATTAAAGACATTGAAGGTAAATTAGTACTAAAAACTCCTATTGCAGATGACATAATTGTAGCAGTTTCAAACGAGGGATCCGTAAGGAATTTCAAAACTTGTCTCAAAATCACCTACAAAGGAAAATTACAACATGATGCCAGCATTAAATTTAACTTTGATGGATCAATGATGCAGTTTGGAACAAAATCATCTTTAATGTATAACAGCAAAATGGTATCCTTCGATGTAAATTTTGATGCAACCAAGGATATTGAAGGGAAAGTTACTTTGAAATCGCCATTTACCGAGGACATGATTTTGGCTTTCTCACACGAAAACACGGAGAATAATTTCAAAACCTGTCTTAAAGTTACTTACAGTGGAGAATTGCAGCATGATGCAAGTCTAATCTTTAATATGGATGGAACATTGGTTAGGTTTACAACTAAATCAGTTTTTACCTACAACAACAAAATGGTATCTACTGCAGTAAGTTTTGATACAACAAACATTCTTGAAGGCAGAATAACAGTCACAACACCATGGACAAATGATATCATTGTAGCTTTTTCAAATGAGGGATCTATACAAAATTTCAAAACCTGTCTTAAAATTACCTACAGTGGTTCTCTAAAGCACGATGCCAGTGTTTCATTCAGTTTGGATGGATCAGTCAGAAAGTTCTTTACACTGGCTTCAGTGAAATACAATGACAAAACAGCTTCCTTTGAGGTAACTCTTGATTCTAGAAAAGACATTATTGGAAAGATCACCTTGAAAACACCAATGTATAATGACGTTATCATTGCGATCTCCCACAAAGGTAACTGGAAAAACTTTATGTCCTTGGTAAAAATCACCTACAATGGCGCATTGCAACAAAACGCAAGAGTAAGCTACAAGTTAATCAAGAAATCAACAGGTATCCAGGCAAACACCGAGGCAAGTTACAATGATAAAACAGTATCCGGAGACATTTCTATTGACACATCATCTGGAATTGATGGAAGTATGGTTGTTAAATCACCATGGACCGATGACATTACTACAATTGTAAAATACAACGGAGAACCAAAAGATTTCACTGCTCAACTTCAGCTGGATTACAAAGGCTCTCGTCAACATGAAGTAAATATTGGACATACAACAACTGGTGAAATGAAGAGACTTTCAACTGCTATCTCTGCGTCCTACAACGGCGAAGAATTTTCGTTTGATGGTTCATATGACGTAAAAGACAACAAGAACGCTCAAATGACTTTCAAATCACCATTCACCTTAGATGCATTTGTGAAAATATCTTTAGAAGGAACAGTTCAAAGATTTAGCTCAAATGTAGAACTATCATATGGCGACAAGACCCATGTTATGACTTCAAAATTCAATATGATCATGACTGATTCCAAAGTAGGTACTGCAGTTGAAATATCAGTCGACAACCAGAAAGGATCTATTGACATCCTTGTTGAGTACTCTGATGAATACAAGGTTAAAGTAGCTGCAATTTCACCACTTACTGACGACATTGAACTAATGTCTACTGCAAAAATAAACCGTAACAATTTAATTGGATCATTACTGATTAAACTCGCAGGAAATATTGTCCATGACAGCAGTTTCAGTTTGACAAGAAGAATGGGAGAAAACCAATTTGTCGCGAATTTGAATGCTATATACAACTCTAAAAATGTCAATGGGGGATTCTCAATTGTTACATACAATGGAATAGACGCCAAAATTACACTAGAGACTCCAGTTGCAGGATACGAGAAGATTGCAGCTAATTTCTTATACGAAACTGACAGGGATACAATTACGACACAAGTCAATGGGAACGTTGGATCTAACAATGTAGAATTGAATGGAGTTTTTGATAAGACTTCACCATTCAATGGAAAAATTAATATCAAAACTCCAGTCAGTGGATTAACCGAAATGTCAATGAACGTAGTTTTCAACAACAATCCTTCAAACTTTCGTCTCACATCTGATTTTGCTATTGAAGGTCAAAACATGTATGACCTTAGTTTTGAGCATATCTCCTCTACAAGTAATTTACAAGGAAGTCTTGAACTAAAAACAGCAATTATAGAAGACATTGACATCAAGTATGACATCTCTGGAAGTTTAACAAAGTCTTCATCCTCGTTTAGTGCCTCCGTTGGAAGTAACAACCAAATTTCGTCGAACACGATGACCAACATTCAAGGTAGACAAATGGGAGAGGTAAAATCAACATTAAATGTCAACATTGCTGGTATCACAAAAACCGCTGAAATAGAATTAAAAAGTGGAAGAAGCTTCAGCGATTTCACTTCTAAAATAAGTGCAAAAATTGATAATGATGAAATCTCTGTAGAAACCATACTGAAAAGTCAACCATCTTATGAGGCATCGATTAAGGTAGAAACGCCTTTCAAATCAGCTAAATCAATGTCAGCTACGGTAAAAAATGTTCGTAAATCAAATTATGTCAGCACATCAGCTGTTGTTGCACTTTCCCCGGAAAAGGTATACGAAATGAGTCTTAATTATCTCAACCAGAACTTCAGAAAGATGGATATAAAAGCAGAAGTAAAAACTCCAGTGAAAGGACACGAGTTGATGAGATGGGTATACAGGCACGGGACTGACCAGGTTTGGTCTGTATTTTCAAACTACGAATGCTCAACTGGAATACAAATTACTGGCGATGTTAAACTGTCACCAAGATCGTTCAACATGGATGTCAGGACTCCGTTTCAAGCATTTCGATCATTGTCTCTAAAGGGAAACTTAGAAAGACAAAATATGATCTACAGTTTAGACACTTCTTTTGAAATGAATAAGAAATCCGTTAAACTATCTGGTTTAGTAGACTTAGAAAGCAGACCAATGACAACCAGAATCGAGTTGAAGACTCCATTTAAGGGACTTGAATCTTCCGAGATCAATCTATCATGTACAGGAGACATCAAAGATTTGCGCGCCACAATCGAAATTGTCACTCCATTGATTAAACCAATCAATTCCGAAGTTCATCTCCGTTACGATTCTCTTTCGGACATGGAAACCACTGCAATTCTTACCACAGGTTTTAAGTCCTTCGAACGATTGAGTGTTTCATTTGTCAACAAGAAACACAGAAATGAATACCAAACACATGTTGAAACCTCGTGGAATAGAGAAAAGACCATTGCATTGGATGCTTCCTGTGATGTTTCGGAGATATCTAGTGGAAAGCATATCAAGACATCAATGTCAATTTCTACACCTTTCGAAGCCCTTAAAACTATAACTGTCAATATGGGACATAAATATTCTACTGGTAACTACATGCAATCGGTATTCTTGGAATACAACGGGAAACCTCTGCTAGATATTGACACATCTTATTCAAATATTGAGCATCACACAGTAACCATAGTAACAAGACACCCTAGACCTATGAACTTCAGAATTGGAGGTAACATGGAAGCCGAGAAGATGAACAGTGATATCAGCTTAAACTGGAATACAGACAAAACAGACAGCAATATGAACATGGAAGCCTTTTATAGTCATAGCAATAATAAGTGTAACTTAGCACTTAGATTTGTACATCCGTCAAAAACCATTGGATTTAGAGGAGAATTAAAACGTTCAACAAGTCATAACTTAATTTCGCTTGATGTAAACGTAGATGATGCCAATGTATTTGGATATACCTATGACTGTAAACACAGCAATGATGACAGAGATACTAGTATGAAATTCCGTTTCCCAAACAGATCTTTCATGTTAACAAACGAAATTCAAAACCGTCTTGGATCTAAAATGGTAACTGGTGCCTTCTATTGGGATGCTGATGGTGACCAGACAAAAAAAGTATCTGTTAAAGGGGATATAACTCCTAGTGAAAATGGTGTAGATGCCAATGTTGTTCTCGAAATGCCAAGTATTGGACAGGTAATGAAATATTTTAAGTAATTCTCAGATAACTTAATCAATGACTAATTGAATTGTTCAATTTCTGTAATCGTATTTTCTTACCACCCCTGATTATCAAGTGGAAAGAAACATTTTATAAAGAATCTTATTCTTATCGATGGATGTTAAATTAAAAAAAAAACTTTTTCCGGGTCATTACGAAAAAAACCCTAATATATTTAGTCTAATTTCTATGGATAAGTCTCATATTTTTGTTTTTTAATCATTAACCGATGTTCATTTACTGTTTCATAAATAGGATGTAAAGCTTGATTCCAAGGTGAAATTCAACAAGGGATCTGTTCTGTTTGATGGTAAAACTGAATTCCAGTATTCCAAAGATTCAAGGAAGACACTAATTCTTTCCTCACGACTGGAAGATCTTTCATCCGGTACTGACACTAACTACAGCTTTAACCTAGGAATCAAACATCCGTATACTACTGTTGACGTTGAAGTAACTTCACTCCTAGAATCATCAGTTTACAAAAAGATGGCTTCTGTCGATGTTAAATACCAAACAGCAAACAAAATGGCAAAGAACTTTGGAATAATGGGAGAAATCGATAGCTTAAAGAAAAGCATCAAGATGGATGTAAGTTATTATTTTACTGTCATATTTGGGGATGAATCATAAACAAAAAGGCGTTATTTACAATGCTATATGACACCCGAATAATCAGTAGTAGTTTATAATTTGTTAAAACACAAATGGAGAATTATTTGAATTAAGAAAGAAGAAAAGAGGTCAACAAAAGGGCGGAACTCGAATACTTATGAACAGAGAAAACATTTAAAGTCCATGACAAATTAATAATTTCAGAGAATTAATATAACAAAATACATTTAATAATAAAAGAAATAGCCACAAACCTGTAAAAAATCTATGTTATATTTAGAGTAAAATTTGAGATTTGTTTGCAAATGTAATACTCTATAGAAATGATATGCTTTATCAGAATACGTGTATTAAAAGGACATTTATATTCATTTACAGCTGAAAACGCCTATTAAATCAATCAATATCCAAGGCAGTGTACAAACTACGGCTCCATACAAAGTGTCAATAAAGAACCTGTATGATAATGTCAAACCAGTCAGTGCAGATATTGTCTTTGACCCATCCGATGTCAGTATTGATGTCAACATGAACTATGATATTGGTAAGAACCAAAAGCTGGCCCAATCGATATCAATATATATATACTAATAAGTTAATTTTTTATCAACTAAGGTTGCAACTAATTCTGTTTTTTAATTACAAAGATTTCATTTTTTATAGGCAAAGTCTGTTTTAATAGTAAAGATTGCAGCTTCTATAAGCAAGGTATTTTTTTCAAAGCAAATGTTGCAACTTTCTCAAGCGAAACATGCTTTTTAAGTACAGGTTACTACTGCCTCAGGCAAAGTTGCCCTCGATGATATTGCCTGCTATTTTTATGGCTTATTGTTTTTGCTAAACAGAAAAGCTTTCTATGTTTCTAATTCACAAACTTGGGTAAACATGTATTTGATGACAGTTATAACAAAGCACGTAGTCTGTTCAATTAATTCGGGGTACTACATCTGTAAATCTCAACCTTTTATATGACGATTAGAGATAATGATCTGTGTACTTATCATAGAAATAGTTCATGATAAAAATATGTAGCATTCGGATTGAGCTCAATGTAAGAAAGGTATACTTCTTCAATATCAAAGTTACAAAAACCATTAACATGTGCAGCATTTATGATTTTACCCTGATATTGTTTCAGACAATCCACAAAACATCCTTCATGTGAATGCTAAAATGTCAGATGAAAGTGGACTCACTGCCGAAGTTTTCAGAGATGTGGACAGTAAGAGAGTTTCCGATACATTGATCAACCTGAAACTGAAGACTTCCAAGATACTCCATACACGTGTACACTGGAACCCTGATCTTTTGAAAACCGTCAAGGTTTGTTAAAGATTAAAAGTGAAGGCAAAAAACTCACAAGTGTTAAACAATAGATTACTTAATTACAAATTAAAGCAAAACATATGTATTTTTACATCAGTAATTTGTCAAGATAGAATTTATAAAATATACAAACCAAACCAATGAGCAATTCAAACAATATTACAGTTATGAATATAGAAATCATATTGAAGCAAATTAATTAAAAAAATTCTTTTAATTTTTGCATTATTCTTCTTGGAAATGATACGTTCGTTGTTTAAGTAAAGCATTATGTTTTATTTTTGAATTTTGTAGTCTGTTGGATTGAACAAGATTCATAAGTATGGCAATGGCATCAACAAAGCACTGCAAACATCATGGGTTGCTGTAGAAGAGGAGGTTCAAGCCAAACACAGATTGATCATATCTGCTATTAAAGAAGACATGAAACCATACATCAATTTTATGTCAGCTAGAGTTACCGAACTTCAAAAAATGAGACGCAATAATGATTTCTACTTAAATGATATCGTAGGACATTTCCAAACAACACAAAATGTTATCAGGTATTTAAAAACAAATGATTATCTTTATAAACATTGTTCTGCAATTTTGATTCGTAAATTTTCACTTTTATTGAAATTCAAAATTTTGTAATTTCTTTAAATGTAAAACAAAATAAACGTTTTAGTGTAACAATAAAAATATTTTTCATAATAATACCAAAAGTATGAATGCTGAATGGTTATTTAAAAAGAAATGTAGGGAGTTCTCAAACCCACTAGAAAAGAGCGTAAACACAAATTTAAGTAAATCCAAAATGAGCTAAAGTAGTTGAACACTTTTAATTTCTATGAAAAATGTTTAATTATCATACTGACAATTTGTTTTATTGTTGAAGGCATCAGATGAAATCCCTTCAAAATGAAATCAACAGTTTAACAAGAGATATGGACTGGACACTTTATAATTTGTATCTTGCTGAAATTACTGAATTGATAAAGGTATGATAATTACTGTTATCTTTCGTCGCTGAGCAAAGCGAATACATATTTCGTATTATTTTGGTAGGTAATAATGAAAAGAGTTGTATTCTCAACAGTTTTCAGATGGATAATAACAGGAGCAATACTAATTGTTCTTGATCGTACAATTTGGCCTTCATGGTAAACGAAATTTCATTACCGTATGCGTGAAGAAATGTAACAGATAAAAATTATAAAGATGATATGTACTATGAGACTGAATTCTATTATTTGTGTTTATTTTGAAGGGATCACCCTATTTATATTGTGTTTCGACTTTCGGTTCACTGCCAACAGAGTAGATATCGAGTGCACACACAAGTACACAAGGTCACGATTAATTGGAATGTTGAAACCCTTTAAACCTTGTGCGGCGAGTTAATGCGATGCATCAAGTTTTTGTACATCATGGTGTCGTTTTTTTGTACATTATGATGTCGATATTTTACACTCACAATGCCTGTACCAAATGAAATCAAAATGATATTTACTCTTTTTCAATGGTATACTACGGTAGATTCCTCTAAATATAAATAATTGAATATAATTTTCACTTTTCGACATTGGTATACCATTCAAAGAAATATCATTTTTTGTTAAGATAATGAAAAAGGGCACTAAAAGGAATAAGGTTTTGCATTATCATATTGTTTTATAGCGTTTATGTTTTATCGTATTGTAATTACTTAAACATTTCACTATAAAAACAACTATGAACAGTAACATTTTACTAGAAAACCATCAATGAAGTGTATCAACCTACTTAATGAAATCTATTTTTTTTCTTTTAAAAGTAAAACACATTAATAGTTTAATTTTATTACAGTTGATGGAAGACATGTCATTACAGTACTACACTGAAGTTTTAGATTGCATACAATCACAGACAACACAGCTGTCAAACACCATTGAAGGTGTATATACCAAATATAGAAAACATGTAACAGGTATACATAAAACAAATATTCAGAAATAAATTTACTCATTTTTTTCAAAGTTACATCCACGTCAATAAAGATATAATACTCAAGATGTGAATATCAGATACTATTTAAGCATTTTGTAAATTGAAATCATGAATTTAACCTTATATACAGAAGAGAAAGATGTAAAGGGAAAATATAAATGCTGATGTCCAATTTAAAAAACTGTTCTACGATTCAATGTAGTTTCAAATGAAAACATGTTCTAAATTATCTTTTCAGATTCGGTTGCATCCATCTCAAGTAACAAAATTTTGGAATCAGTTCGTTCAAGATTACCAACAATTCCACTGAAACAAATGGCCGACAGATACAATACAGCCATCTACAATGCAAGAGAATCTATCAATACCGGGTTAATAAAAACACTTCCAACCCCAGTATATCATATGGTGAGTTATATCCATCCTTCGATATCTAACATGTAGACACCATCAAATTAATATCACCGACAGTTTATTTTCACGGCTAAAAATGCTCATAATGTTTGTCAGCAAAGATTATATTTTACTTCAATTTAAAGAAAATTTTTTTTGTTGAACTCTTGATAAATTCTTTTTCTTAGTTGACAATTCTTTATTGTACTGAAATGTAAATTCGATAAACTACGTGGTAACTGAATGCTTCTTATATTCTTTCCAGGCTTCATCGGCATATAAGTACTGGGAAATTGAAGAAAACATCAGATCTGTTTTTATCAAATTCGTCAATTTTATTAAAAAAGACATTGGAGACGAATTCAGTAATATCAAAGACTTAATTACTGATGTTAAGAAAACAAAAGTCACAGTATATGACCCAAAGAAAGGTCACTTTGAAATGGACATTTATCTACCTCTGGAAATGAAATCTTTAACAGAAGTAAAAAGGATAACCAATCCAATTGAGAATCTCAGATCTTACATTCCACAATCTAATCCACTTTCATCCTGGAACAATATATGGTCTCATGCAGTTAGTCCATCGTTTGGTGGTGAGTAAAATGTATAAATTTTGCCTTTATATTTAAATGAAATATTTGTTAACAATACGATCAATGAATTTTCCCAAACTACATTTAGAGTTCAATGTTCTAAATGACTAATCCTTATGTTAAATGTTAGAAAGTCGATGCTTAACACATGTATGTATTTAATTTCTGACTTAAACTTCCTTTTTCATGTATGTTGAATTCTTTTTGAGGTGATCGTTTTAAGAATTCCCAATTTGACGCAGCAATGTTTTTGTAACTAATTTTAGGAATAGATTATGAATTATTGAATTCTATGTTATTATCAAACTAAAATATACGAAAATTAACTAATGGATATGTCTTTCTAAATTTATCTCAAAAGAAAAAGAAACCAACAAAACATAATAGGCAAGTTGGGTTGTATTATTAAATTTGTAGATTTATACTACAATTGATAGGTGATAAGTATATTATCACGATTTCATTTACAAAAATGTATACCAAATTAATTGAATATGTTTCAGCCCATGCTCACATTAAGGGAGATCATTTCACCACCTTTGATGGACAAGAATTTGATTTCAATGGAAAATGCAGTTATGTCCTGGCACGTGACTTTGGCAAAGACAAGTTCAGCATCATTCTTAGTTACATGGGAAGACAGAGCAAAAAATTGGTTGTCATGACCTCCACACAAAATGTTCAAGTGGCTTCAAATGGAAAGGTAAACATTCTTTGGCTATTGAATCACTAGTTTGCTAAAACTTTAAGAGTTGCATTTCATTTTACAAACTTCATCCGAGAAAGTAAATAAATTTTACAAATTTTACCCCGTGCGATCTCTTCTTTTCTGTAAGTAGGTGTCTTTTGCTAATCTTTGTTGAGTTTATATAACTTTGTAAAAATTAAGATGTGATTTTCGATTACAAAAATGTATACACAATTAATTAAACGTGTTTTCTCTCCTTTTAAGAATTTGTTCTGTCTTTGGAAGAACAGCGAATGATTATCCTCTTAGCATTTATTATTATTTCTGATGTTTTATATTTTTCAGGTCCGTGTTGATGGAATAGAGAGCAAACTTCCATATGCTTCAGACGAGATAAAAATTTCACAAGTAGGAGACAACATTTACGTCGATGGAAATGGTTTTGGTGTGGTCAACAACATAAAATCAGCGTCATATGACATTGAACTCAGTCATTGGTTCCATGGTAGAACAGGTGGCCTGCTTGGTGTCCATGACAACGAGAGATTTGACGACATGATGATGTCTAACAAACAGATCACATCTGATGCATACGCTCTTGCCAACTCTTGGCAAGTCCAAAATAAATGCCGTTAAATATAGAACTTTTACCGAATGAGATTAACTTTTGTTTTGTTGATTATTTGTTAATTGTTAACTTTTGGTTCTTATTTATTTTTTCGTTTATTATTTTTTTGTAAAAACATTTGATAATAATAAATTGAGAGCAGCATTTTCCTTGTTTGTTTCATCCATGAATGCACTATTAAGAAAATGACATTTGTCACAACAATGTAATCAATAGTACCTTAAAGCTTTAATAAGGATAGCAAAAACAGAAATGCAATACAAGAAAACGCTACCAAAGGAACTGTAGACTATATCATAGTTCTGACTTCGCCTAGACATTTTCTATAAGAAAGGTACTGCTGATCATGTCTTTTTGTTATTTTTGTCTTTGGTTTTGTGTCTCATTGATGTATACCCCACATCGCCTTTATTCGCACGGTACATAAAGTATTAATTACAAATGGGTTGAGTGCTTTTAACATGATTTAGTGCAGAAGAACTGATATTAACGATTCTTTTTTTCTGTGTACCCTTTGCTATTCAGCTCATAATGCTAAAAGAGGGAATTTTAGGGCTCAAAATAATGCTTTACCTCGCTGCATGTTAACTTGACTGTCCAACGGCAGAAACCTCACCAGTCATTTCTCTTTTTTATAAATGTGTGTGTCTTTATGCTAGTTAAAAAATGTGGCGATGACCGACTTTTTGGTAAATTTATACTCTTGAATATATTACGGAATTCGAGACGATTTACAGGTTCCTCTATTGGTATATTAAACCAAGAATTCCAAATGGTGAAGTTGAAATCATCCCTTTGTAAATTTTACGGACGCCATCGCGAGTTAGTTGACCGTTATGGAATAACCGTTTCATAGATGATATCGGATATGTTCCTTATGTCGCAACTACAATACCCTTCTCTTTTCACGAATGTGACCTACCGAATTAGACTATTTACCGGATTTGTAATAACATAAGCAACACGACGGGTGCCACATGTGGAGCAGGATCTGCTTACCCTTCCGGAGCACCTGGGATCACCCCCAATTTTTGGTGGGGTTCGTGTTGCTTAGTCTTTAATTTTCTATGTTGTGTCATCTGTACTATTATTTGTCTGTTTGTCTTTTTATTTTTGGCCATGGCGTTGTCAGTTTGTTTTCGATCTATGAGTTTGACTGTCCCTCTAGTATCTCGTCCCTCCTTTGGTAGAATTTCGGTTCCCAATGATATCATCCACCCAATTCTTATTTATGGTTTTTCAAATTTGTGGCCACCAACATGCGTGAAAAAGTTTATTCCAGAAACATGTGTCATTTTTCCGGAAATCAGAATACAACATCTTTTACATATTGTAAAGACACTTGTTTGTTAGAGTATACATGTCTCCTTTGGTTTTATTGTATCAAGCTTTAATTCATCGACCTATAAACGACAACTCTTTTTACTCATATATAAGAAATAAACGTCTTATTTGAATGACAGTGGTTAGGAGTTCAGACGTCTTAGGGATTCATTTTTTATAGTTTTTTTATAAATCAAAAGTTACTTTCGTTAACTAAAATTGCATCACTGAAGATACATGAATTGTCGGAAAGCACATATGGTGCAGTAATATTAATATTGATATAAAGAAGAGGTGGAAGATACAAAAGAAATATTCAAACTCATAAGTCGAAGACAAACTGACAAAACCAAGGCAAAAATGTTGATGTCTGCAAAATGAGAAAACTATCCACCAGAGTTCAAATGACGAAGATAAAAGCAATTATAGGTCACCGTACGATTTCTTATTTTTCTTTCCTTTTCGTGATTTTTTTAATAAGCATCGCTATTTCCAAATCATTGTAATGATTTTTCTCTTCTCTGTGTCTTTCCCTTATTTTCATGACCTTATTTAATTTCTTTTCATAGGATTCCCTTTTTATCATGTGGTTATTTGCGATCAATTGACCTTGCAAACTCTCAGTTGGCTATACAGTTTATTTTTCAAACTGATCGACTGGTAAAAAATATATACCAATTAAAAGCAGAAAGTAAGTTTGTTTGTAACAAGCAGTTGCAGTGAACTAACAATGTATACTATTAAATATTATTATCTACTTATCTGTTTCACATGTTTCACATGAACAGTAAGCACAACATAAAACATCTAAGTACCTGTTTGTAGGCATAAGTATCAAAAAATACTTCAGTTTGAAACAACAAGTAAAAACAGAAGTGTCAAAATGATTTAGAGAATATGTACCCAAGCTGACGATGATGATGATGATGATGATGATGATGATGATGATGATGATGATGATGATGATGATGATGATGATGATGATGATGATGATGATGATGATGATGATGATGATGATGATGATGATGATGATGATGATGATGATGATGATGATGATGATGATGATGATGATGATGATGATGATGATGATGATGATGATGATGATGATGATGATGATGATGATGATGATGATGATGATGATGATGATGATGATGATGATGATGATGATGATGATGATGATGATGATGATGATGATGATGATGATGATGATGATGATGATGATGATGATGATGATGATGATGATGATGATGATGATGATGATGATGATGATGATGATGATGATGATGATGATGATGATGATGATGATGATGATGATGATGATGATGATGAGGAGGAGGAGGAGGAGGAGGAGGAGGAGGAGGAGGAGGAGGAGGAAAACGACGACGACGACGATGATGATATATTGTTAAACGTACAGTGGCAAACATTGCATATCGGGACAAAAATATGTTGGTATGATATGAACCATTATAAACTCGGATTTGTACTAGACCGATACACAAGGCCGGCTTTTTAACGTGGTAGTCAACAATGTTAGTGTCTGCAAAATATGTTATGGGTAAGGGAGTTGCTCATATTCAACTTTACTATGAGTAAACTAGTACGTAACATTAACGGTGCCCATTTTTCAGCACCAGATGCGCATTTCGACAATAAATGTCTCTTCAGTGATGCTCGTGGCCAAAATATTTTAAAATCCAAAGCTTATTAAAAAGATGAAGAGCTATATACCAAAAAGGACAAAAATAGTATAGTCAAAGCCGGACAAGGAATCAGAGCTTTGCATGAGGGAGATATATTCTTTAATTTAAAATAATTTCTAAAATTTTGTAACAGCAAATTTTGATAACAACAATCCGTTTTTTTATGAAGCAACTAGGTAAATTTGACATGTTTATGACAAGATGCCCTAAAAAGTCCTTACTTTTCCAGTTTCTTCATCTTTTGTTGTGTCAATAGAATTAAAATACACTTTTAATGAATGATTAGCCAGATAATTGCTCTAACCACAGCTCATCCATTCCAAGCAAAGGTGTTTTACTCAATGAATCATCTGTTATAGTGCTGTTTTCTTTCTACTGTTTTCACACAAATATAATCATTCAGCTTAACTAATTTTTTTAAAAACATTTAAGCACTTATTCCCCGCACCAGTGAATTATTGAAATAAATTAAACACTTGGTACAATCAAAAACCTGGTAATAAATTGTTCAAATAAGGCCTTTGAAAATAGTGGAATTAATTACTTTTGGAGTGTCAAAAATACTTGATAAATTGCATGCTTATATTGGTGATTTCGAATCTGTTCAAAGTTTTGATTTTTCTACCCTATATACCACTTTGCCTCATAATCTTATGAAGAAAAAATTCACACACCTAATTAAATGGGCATTTAAAAAGTCAGAATGCGAAGATATATGTTCAAACTCTTTTAGGTCATTTTTAAGGAACAACAAACAAAAGAACTAGGTCAATTAGATCTGTTTTGATACGATAACTACCCTTGCATTTTTACTAGATAACATTTTTGTTCGCTATGGAGATTCCGTATATCGTCAAGTTATCGGAATTCCAATGGGGATTAACTGTGCACCACTTATTGCGGACCAGTTTCTGTATTGTTATGAGTTACAATTCATGACTAAAATCAGCAAAAATCCATCAAAACAACATCTGATACATACATTTAATAACACTTTTAGATATTTGGATGATATAATGGCTCTCAATAATGACGACTTTAGTATGTACACTAAAGAGATTTATCCTGCTGAACTTACTTTAAATAAAGCTAATACAAAAATGAACACTGCCCTTCCCTGGATCTTGATATCTATATCTTTAACGGGAAGCTTAATACCAAAATTTATGATAAAAGAGATGATTTCTCATTTCCTATTGTTAATTATCCATTTTTAGATGTTGACGTTCCCTTGTCGCCATCTTATGGTGTTTATTTATCTCAACTTGTTCGATTCGCTCGTGCATGTAACAACGTAATTGATTTTAACGAAAGAAATCTCTGTATTACTGAAAAATTATTACACCAGGGTTTTCGATATCACAAAATTTTATCATCGGTACAAGGACATCATTCGTAAACATAAATCAACATGCAGACGTCTTATACATTCAGGTATTTCACATCCAATCTTTTATGGTAATATTCTATATAAAGCACAAAAATGTCGACATTCACCTCAAAAGCTAACCAAACCTTTAAACAGACTTATTCAGAATATTAATGTTTCAGCAATTTTCTAGCATGAATAAACGATAACTTTTTTTCTGTCAAAATTCGAAAAATTAAACGTGTTATCTGAGAGTGCAAGAAATTTCTACATGTTCAAAATTTTATCAATAAATTTTATCATGACGCTTCAACAACATTATTTTTGACATATCTAAAAATACAGCAATACAGTATCACTTTGTATTGTTTTTGTGCATTTTTGTTTTTTCAAATTTAAGGCTTTGAGCGTATTTTATGAAGGTTATTCCAGAAACACATGTCGGTGTGCTTGGAACCAGGTATCATACTATTTTATTAAAAGTGGTTGGTACCGATTTTCGGTTGGACTATAAGTCACCGATGGTACCATCTGCTTGGTAGTCAGGGATTCGGTACTGGAGGAAAATACATGATAATTTTTCTCTGTTCTTTGTGTAAAATGTTGCTATCATAGTATGATAACAAATTAAATCCTGCACCACGTCAGTAATATGTCAATTGTTTTCCGTTCGTTTTTAGATGTGTTTGAGCTTTTGATTTTGACATTTGATAAGGGACTTTCCGTTTTGAATTTTCCTTGGAGTTCGG